GTACCTTGACTTTTGAGCCCTTTGACATGCCTACGGCGGCCTAGTGACTCAGGCGGGCCCATCCGAGCTTTGTTGGCACCGAAGAGGTACGAGTCGGAACCGGGCTTTCGAAGGGGGTACTTCAACTTTTGAGCCCTTTGACATCCCTACGGCGGCCTAGTGACTCAGACGGGTCCATCCGAGCTTTGTTGACACCGAAGAGGTACGAGTCCGAACCGACTTTCGAACCGAGCTTTCGAACACGCTATGAGTGATCAACCTACCGGTGGTCAGCAGATGAGGAGATACCGGGCGGTACGACACTTTGTCAGCTTGCGATCGAACCGGTGAGATTGTGATTCTCGCATTTCGTGATTTCGTCTTGCATTTCCTTTCTGCTATTTCCTTGTGATTGAGAGGGTCCTTCTGATTTTCCCACCCCATTTGTCAGTCCACCCTGATATCAATTCCTAGAGAGAAAATTGGAAGCAAGGGAAGAATTTAAAGGGTCTGAAGGGAAGCGGAGAAGCGCCCCGGATTGCTAGGAAATGGGCGGGACTAGATAGGCTAGCTAATCCTGATGGATAGCTGGGCGGGTTGATACACTACACGAGTCGGGATGAGAGACCATGCCTGAGGTAGGAACGAGTAGAGGCATGGATAGGAGTGAGGTTGCACGAGTGAGACACCACCCTCTTATCCGTGTGTGACTTCGGTCCACCCTCGAGCACATGAGTTGGCCGGCTCGTGCTCAGGTCGCGGTAAGAGAGGTAGGTCAGCGATGATGGTACACTGATCTGACCTCTTCCTTGACACGAGGGTAAAGGGGAAATACGCCAGAGGGCGGTTCTCTCCTAGGCCTGTTCACGTCTTGGAGGGTTACAGGAAGGATTGGAGGAGGCCTGTCGTGGCGGTCAGTGAGCTCAACAGTCCGAGAGTCACACAGGGAGAGATTTATTGAGGGTTCTACTTGGTTTCTTGATTAGGAATGGTACATATCGAGTCGGCTTTTCAAATATCCTTGATCGGGGAGAGGGGCTCTTGCGACGTGATCAGTTTGCCGCTAGAAGGGAAGAGCAAATACAGATCTACCAGAAAGGAGGGATTAATAGTCCGAGACGGTGTTTTCCTGTGGGTGAGAATAGAGGCTGAAACCAGGGCCTGTGTCAAGAGAGACAGGGAGGCGGCGCCTTTACGAGCAAATGTGAGCGTGAGGCTGTACTTGTCAGGGAGAGAGTGGGAGTGTCTCGTGATAGATACTACCAGGCGTTATCCAACCCTCCTCTGTTTGACAGCGTTAGGTCGGAGGTTTGGTGCCCAGATCTTTAGAGAGTTCGCTCAGGGGAGTGGAGCAGATACAGTTGCAGTCTACACTGTGAGGTTTGCATATGATTGAGAGCTTCCTAGAGCGACCTTTGTGAGGTCAGAGACGGTCCCTAGGTTTTTGCCGGGGCTGATTTTCGGTACCAGAGTGGTGCACCAGAGACTTTTAACGGTAGTGCAGAGAGCGGTCCGACTGGGAACGTCTACTGTCGAGCTTGGGTGGCTCCTTATTGCTTGGACAGGCCAGTTCCCACTCGTAGAGAGCTACGCCGTATTGTGTTCCGCATCCGGGAGGAGCTACGAGAGGCCGAGATAAGTGGAGAGGTAGATATGGCCCGAATACTGAACGGAAGGACAGACGACGCCAAGATGTCTCACAGTAGGGTCGAGCACCCGATAGAATTGGAACCGTTCGGATTCAGAGAGCCGAAATTCGTGAACGAAGATTGGGTAGAGTTTACATTGCCAGGTAGCTCGACTTTGGTGGCACGAGTCGGCAGAGTGGATAGGCCCTGGAAGTCAATACTGTTGCGGTCGGGCGTTTGGTTGTTGGTGGTGCCGCTTGTGGCTTTCGATAGGGATAGACGAGGGAGAGTGGTTCAGGGATCGGTGGACTTGGCGGTTAAGGGTTTCCTCTATTACCAAACGTCGGAACTTTCGAAAATCATTCGTAGGGTGGTCGAGCACGGCACGCGCGATAAGAACCTTGGGGTAATACCTAGTCTTGATCAGTATATGTGGGCGGTCGAAACTCCCGCTATAGACATACTTCAGGAGGTGGTGGAAAGATACCGGGAGGAGGAGTTCAGCTTAAGAGGAGCGATTAGATCAGTCACGGTGTCCCTCCGTCTAGCCCGGGGAGGGTTTTTACCACACTCAGAGAAGGCGTTGAGGCTCCCCATTCCGCTATTTGTCTTGGAAGAGTATCTTGGAGGGTTTGACCGGTTGGTTCAGGTACACCTAAGTTTTCTAGAGATCCTAGACCTCCTACACAGTGGTGACGAGCACCACGCCTATTACGCTCTCCGGAAGGAGGGGCCCCGGTTTGGCAACGAAGGTCTAGAACTAGTCGAACTGCTTAAGAGCAGCTTCGCCTAGGGGCTTGAGGCAAGCACCTGACCAGGACCAACAGGTTGAGTTCTGGGCTACCTTCGAGAGGGGTATACGGGAGCCACCTAGTCATCTAGCAGGGTTGGCAGAGCTGTTTAGTGGGAGGAACAACCATTTTGTCAAAACGGACATATTATATTTTTTGAATGAAATCAAAACTGACTTTTTTTGCCAAAATCCGGTCAGAATTTTTTGCTCCTGGGGGTCCAGCGTTCCCAAAACGCCGGACCAATTTCATTTCTAAAAAAAATACAGGTCAACTCAGGGACCATATATCTCATGATAAAAAATGACAAAAAAAAATCCTGCTTTTTTTTTTTTTTTTTTTAAATCCAATTTAGTTCTTGATTTTTTAAAAATCCTAAACAAAGTCGGATTCCCAAGAAACAAATACAGGGGTGTAGGGTTTTCCAAGACCTACACCCCCATATATATATATATATATATCATATATATATTATATTTTATATATATATATATATAAATTTTATATATTATATATATATTTTTTACATATTTTTAGGGGTAAAAAAAAATATTAAAAAAACAGGCCGCAAATTGGGCCTCATCGGCCGCGGCCGCGGCCGAGATTCTCGGCCGCAGCGACCGAAATGTCCGCGGCCTAGGCCACAGGTGTCAGATAGCCCACTTCTTCTTCGTCCTCAAGCTCAACAAAGGCCGACTTCTCTTTCTTTCGTCGATTATGCCTGTTACCAACTTCTTCTTCATCACCTCTGTCTTCTCTTCCGTCATTCTTCTTCTCCAAGCTAGCAGCTATGGCTGCCGTCCCCTATGATGGCGAACTTTCCCTCGCGCACGTCCTTCTCTCAATATTGTCAACGTCTACTTCGCGTCAATCGGCTTCTTCCTCTCTCTTGGCCTCCGCGACGCTTGCGCAGACAACGGGAACCAGCTCCACTACCAATACAATCACACTTGTCTCGATTTCACTTCCAACATGCATACATGAAGGTGCCGATGGCAAAACAACTTCCTCAACGCAGAATCGGTACCAAGCTTGAGATGGCGCATTGCGCCCACACAGAAAACGCAGAGATATGGCCTCCGGCCAGGAACTCAGCATAAGTCAACTTGTCACATCTTGCGGCTATGGCGTCTGAGCGTCAGTCTGAATTCCCACCCGAACACTGTATCCATCAGACACACTCACACTCACTCACACACATGTACACACACACTAGGAACTACCGTGAATGTCTACGCACACACACACACACACACACTCTCCTCCTGTGTCACACTCGCGGCTATGGCCACCGTTGTCTCCCTCCTCACTAGCAGTTATGGCTGCTCACCCTCTCCAGGCTTCCTGCTGACAACCTGTAGAGTCAACGCACAAGTCACTTGGACAGCGCTTCCACACAGCTCGCAGGTGAATGAATGAATGGCTGGGCACTGCCTCTTTCTTTATATTGTTTCGCTTGGTGGTCTGGCCTGCCCGGTCCCATGCCCTTTGAATGTGCAATCCCACTCTGGTACATGCTGCTGGACTGGGACTGCCAATGCCTGTGCCCCTTCATGGCTGGATTTGGAACACTTGACGTTTTAAATATTGACAGACTGCCCCTTAGGACTGCCAAGGGTCAAGTTGACTCTTTGAGGACTGACTAGGCCACGACTGACTGTCCTTTCCGAGAAAACAGAGCTAGACCTACGGACTGACCCTAAGACTGGTAATAGATAGGTCTACGTTTCATGTCCACATGACCCAAGGTAAATACACACAACATTTGTACATGATTTTAGGGGCAGGTCGTGGGTGTAAAGCACCCATTTTCATCACCTGCTAACTAGGCTCGTGAGACACGGTGAGAGTGCACAACCCCATTGTCAAACCTGTGTACTTCACAAAGTCTTCAATTTGTGAGAATGCACAACCCAATTGCAAGCTGAACAACAAGGGTTCGAAACCCTGTACACATTGGAAACTCGAGTGGGAGGAAATGAGAAAAGAAAGCAACCGCTACCCTATCTTTTACCCAGCTGCCCCATCATCATTCCCTCCCTCTCTGTCAGATGCAACAGGCTCTAACAGCACATGGATATCAATGTGGCATGCAGAACATGCAAGAGAGAGAGAGAGAGAGAGAGAGAGAGAGAGAGACAGAGACAGACCGACAGACAGAGAGAGAGGGAGTCTCAGAGAGAAAGAGAGAGACAGCGGCAGAGAGCAACAGAAGGGGGGGGGGGAGAGAGAGAGAGAGAGAGAGAGAGAGAGAGAGAGAGAGAGAGAGAGAGAGAGAGAGAGAGAGAGAGAGAGGAGAGATTGCCCGCCACACCTGTGTTCCCTCCGTCTGTCAGATTTGACAGGGTCTGACAGCACACGCATATATATACCAATGCAGCAAACGAGTGTGTGTGTGCGTGTGTGTGTGTGTGTGTGTGTGAGAGAGAGAGAGGGAGAGAGAGGGAGAGAGACAGAGAGAGCGAGAGACAGAGACAGCAACAGGGAGAGAGACAAAGAGAGGGAGAGAGAGTGAGAGAGAGGGAGAGAGAGGGAGAGAGCGAGAGACAGAGACAGCAACAGGGGGAGAGAGAGAGAGAGAGAGAGAGAGAGAGAGAGAGAGAGAGAGAGAGAGAGAGATGTGTCCACTCAGACTCCACTGGCCTTCTTTCTTGTCCTTTGTTACGTTATTCAGAACCCATGAGGGGCCAGCGCTTAACACAGTTGTCTGCAAGACTCTGCATCTGACGTTGTCCAGACTCTGTGAACTCAAACGCTCTCCACACCAACTGCAGCGTTCGTTCACGGTACCTTTCTGCCCACCTCTCCGCCCGACGCGCCGGGGCGAAATCCTCTGCTCTCGAAGGCGTCCTGGGAACTGGAACTTGAAGGGCACTTACGATGCTGCTGACGGGAGTGTCGGGAGGACACTCCTTTACTTGCTGATTGCTCTGCAGGATGGGAGCGGAACTACCACCTCAGCCGAACCAGTCCCTCTATCAACTTGACTTGAGTCGGACAATCATCGTTGCCGTGCACCGCTAAGTTCGGCGCTAACCAATCATCAATCACACCTGTCCACTCATAATATCAGAATTACAACCCAAGCATAGATCTCTTCAGTTCACCTAGCTCACTAGCAGTTGCGCGTGTCCGCTGTCCACCGATCATCAGCGACAGCACGTGCGACGTGCATAGGTGAACGACTTAGCCTTCTCAAGGTCGCTGGGTGAACTAGGCAGAGCCCTCTCTCAAGTTGCCTGCATCAGCTGCTCCACCTTCTCAAGGTGCCTGGGTGAACTCCTCCGCCTTCTCAAGCTGGTTAGGTAAGCTGCTCGGCCATGTAAAGGCAGCGGGGTAAACTACCCAGCCTCCTCAAGGTAGTGGGCTAACCTACTCATCCTCCTCAAGGTGCCTGGGTGAGGTCGTCAGCCTTTTTTTGTTTGTGGAGATAGCACACCCAAAGCATGCAAAAGGACAAGAAGAACAATGCTCACAGCATAGATTGCGTAAACATGTCGTCAGCCGTCTCAAGGGGCAAGGGTGAACTACTCACCCTTCTCAAGGTCTTGGGTACTGGAATACCCTTTATAATGCCGGTGGGACAGGGAGGCAATGCCTTCGGCCGGTGATTGTTCCGACTCCCGGTGGTCATGCAGGAGCGGAACAGGACTCGTCCCACCGCCCTCGCCGTCCATTGCCCTCTGTTTGTCTGAGTAAAGGTAGTAATGTTGTACGACAAACAGGAGGTCGAACATAATCGTCTCACCCGTAAGGCCCAACTTTCCAGCATTTCCAGCAAAGTTCTTAAAGGACTTCTGATCGATCGACTGAAGGAACATCTGCGCAAGCCCCGATACCGCTCCCGTAAGGTCTAACAGTATGTTGCCGATCGACCAGCCGACCGTGCTTCGCCGCTTGTAATTCATCCATGCTTGGGGAATGTACTTGATGGAAGTCATTACCACCTGGATGTAATTGAAGAGCGTCGCAGACGAAAGCCATGTTAATTCCCCGTCGATGGCCAGGAGGACGCCGACGAGTCCCACTGCCCACGCTCCGATTGTAATCCAAATGGCGGTTCGCGAAACGGTCTGCCCACCCTTGGGGAAAATCAGCAGCTGCAGTGCAGTGACTACAGTAAGAGTGACAGCGTGGACCGAGAACGCTACATCGCTCGCCGAGACTGGGATAAGCTCCCTCTCACCATACCGCATGCGGTACTGCTGCTGCACAACGGGTGAAAAGAACAGTGCAATGTTGAAAATGCAATACGTTGAGTGCTTTGTCAGATTGAAAATGACAAAATCGAAGTTCAGGCCTTCCACGCTCTTTCTCCGGTAGTTGAGGAGCACTTGTGGGTAGAAACTGATGGACCAAACAGTGAAAGCCAGCCAGCCCAGGTTATTGTAAAGGAAGTACAGAAGCGGAGATTGCCACTGGGCGTCTACTACCAACAGGTCTGAGGGAGAAGGGTCCATTACTCCACCCTCTTGCATTCAATCCCACCCCTCCTCCTCCTCCTCCTCCTCCTCTTCAGCCTCCTTCTCCTGTAGCGCCTTTCCCGTAACAATGACCCCGGTGCGAGAGTCGGATCCTCAGCCACCTCCGAGCCCGAACAAAGTCACTGTGGTGAGATGGAGCAAACTGAGTGAGACCTCACAGCAGCAGGCACTGTGGTGAGATGGAGCGAACCGAGTGAGACCTCACAGCAGCAGGAACGGCACTACCTACTTCTCCAGAACACAATGCCTGATCATAATATCTATATTTTGCCCAGAATGATGTAGTAAATGGAGCTGCAGCTATAGCGACCTCCGAGCAGGTCTTGTGTTCACTACAAGGACAACAACAGGGGACTGTCTAACAATAACAACAAGACCTCCCAATATCGGTGATATGCTAGGTGTGGGCTTATAATCTCCTATTATATCTGTATTGGCCAGAATGCACAAAATAGTAAAAATACGGCTATTATAGCCGCCGGGTCTTGTGCTCGGGGGAATAAGGTACGGACACCTCACAGAAGCGAGGACACTAGGGAGTGTCCTAGCAGAGACACTCCGTGTCGCATTGTCTCGGATAGTCCAAAGGTGCGAATGTCTCTGGGACCACCATAAAGACGTCGAGCTGACGATGATGTCTCCTTTGTCTGTCTCTGTGCAAGCTGCCAGAGTCAAGCACCACCATAAAAATGCGCGCTTTCCGTTGTCGCCATGTATCTCGAGCACATCCACTTAATATGCAGAAGCCCTGCACACAGCAGCGCGAAAAAGCCACGCTTGATGAGAGAGAGAGAGAGAGAGAGGGGTGTCTACAGCGTCCATCTGTGCACACAATACTTGACAATGTATGACATCCAACCAAGACCTTCACTCGTTTACAAACAAAAAACAAAAAAAACAAAAAAAAAAACACATCCCGGCCCCCATTAACCCATATCCAACCCATGTGGATCGGACGCTACATACAAGTGAGAGTTAGCATCCAGATCATCAGTTCAAATCCTGAACGCGACCAGATGCACTGAATACTTTTAGGGCGACTGCAAGGAACCAAGGTGAATACCATCACAGCAAACCACCTCTACCTTTCACAGGCAAACTCGAAATGGAAATACCACGCATACCGCATTCTTTGGAGGACGGGCACCACGGGACCAAAATGGCTGGCTGTGCCAGCCAAAACAACAACAAAAAAAAAGGTCTCAGTCGCACTTCAGCAAAGCTTGGGCGCAGTCATTTTCCACCTCGCCAAAAGAGGCTCTGATGTAGTTGTCGTATAAGAACAAAAAAGAATTTCAAAGTGAAAGTCGAAGTTCACGATGCAAAGTCGGGTCCCAAAGTGAAACTCACAGTTCATCGGTCACAGTCGGGTCCCAAAGTGAAACTCAAAGTTCATGCCACTTGTTACGGCTGAATAGAACGTTTCACTACGGGTCAAAGTCGGGTCGAAGTGAAAGCTCATGGGTCAAAGTCGGGTCAAAGTGAAAGTTCATGGGTCAAAGTCGGGTCCCGAAGTGAAAGTCAAGGATCCAGAATCAAGAATTGTTATTAGTACAATTTGCAATACGGTTTTGACTTTTAAGCAAAAAAAAAAAAATTGTCAATGCATTTTTGGCCCAGAAAGACCACAGAAATGGTAGAATGCCCCAATAAACACCTGGGGCCTGGGTAGAGTGGAATGCCCATCAGATTCTGACTATCGCTTAAATTGGCAAAGTACCCCACATGTCAACTGCGCCAGTCATTCTTTCAGTATACCCCTACCAGGTACCAAAGATTCAAGTTCTCCAAATGCCCCAGTACTCAGGGCGTACTAACACAAGGGTGGCGTAGCAGCAAAATCTGCGAATTTTGCTATCCCAATTTTGCTGAAATGCCACCCCACCCAGTCACATAGCGGCCGCTAGTCACAAAAGACACTCAAAATTTCCCGCAATTGCCAAAAAATGGTGCCTCACATGGTCACACCACGCAACGCCCAAATCCTTCAACTTTTTCTTTTTCAACAATTTAAAAGTTCATTTCAAATTTCCTTTCACAAACTCTCAAACTGAAAAAAAAAAAAAAAAGTGCTACCACCTCCACAGCCCTCCAGAGGTGAGGTGGTAACAAAATGCCCTTCCCCGCGGCCCGCCAGGCCGCTGACATTTGATAGCCCTTTTGCTGCTTTCGCCACTTTCCCTGCCTTGTGGGACTGGCCCGACCATCAATCAATTTTTAGTTATTTTGCAATTAAAGGCCCTTAGCTAGTGTGAGTCGGCCCTCATTTTGCAACAGCAAAATCCATTTTCAACGGATAATTGGTGAAAAGCACCCATGCCAAAACCTTTGCAGTTTTGGGTGCCGAAAGCTCTGTCGTTTCGTACTACAAGCCCAAACTTTTCGATGTGGGGTACTACCCGCGCAGGTGTTGTTCCAACGGCCCTACTGGATCATGAATCAGGGGCCAAGGGTGGTACCCCTGGAAGACAGAAGGAGGCCCAAATACGGTATTTTGAAAAATAATGGCCCTACTGGTTTATGAATCTGGCTGCAAATCAGAGCCAGATTCATTCTCCAGTAAAAATAGGCCGACGGAGCTCTGGCCATGGCCCGAAGGCGCCTTTTACGCAAGTGGAAGACTTTTGGGCCGTTAGTTTCGGCGCCCAAAACCGAAAAGGTTTTGTCCTGGGCGCTTTCCACCAAGTATCCCTACTTTCATTGTACCCCTGCTGCGGATCATCTTTCTGCTTTCACACTAATGGATATGCACCCCTAACATGCAGAGAGGTGTGCCCAAGAGCTCGGGCTCGCTTCTTCTCTCTCTCTCTCTCTCTCTCTCTCTCTCTCTCTCTCTCTCTCTCTCTCTCTCTCTCTCTCTCTNAATCATCATGCCAATTCGGCATATTTCCATTTCTGCCTAAGTGACTCTGGGACGAAGGCCAGGGCCCACACAGACCCACGGGTAGGCCACATGCCCTGTCTCTTATACACATCTAGATGTGTATAAGAGACAGCACACACACACCTTGCTTTCCTTGTATCTGACTGCAATTCCGCACCAGAAGTGAGCAGAAGAAGTCCTGGTTTGAGTATTGCCACAACCCTAACTAAGGGCCTTCTTAGACACTCCTTAGGAGTTCCCTGGGCCACAAGGAATTTTATGAAGCGCAGGACTGGAGGCACGTGGGTAGACCTCAGGCAATGCGACGAAGCGACAGACGACTACTTCCGGGAGAAGCTACGCATGTCGCCGCGAGTGTTCCGAAAAATCATGGAGGCATGTGCGCCTCATCTTCAGCGGCGGGTGACGTTCTACAGGAAGACTTTGCAGCCGCACCAGATTGTGGCATACGCACCGTACAGGTGGGCATCGGGGGAGACGTACGAGAGTACCGCGTGCAACTTCGGGATTGGCAGGGCTTCTAGCCTGGTTGCTGTCCGTGACGTGACTGCCGCGCTGGTCCGGGTGTATGGAGAGATGATTGCCTGGCCGACTGGAGCTCGCAAACTCGTCGTTCTACGGCCGTTAGCTGATAAAGGGTTCCCCAATTGCCACGGTTGCATTGACTGTACTCACATCTACATGGACAAGCCGGCGAACACCCCGAGCGAAAACTACTATTAATAATAACAGGAAGTGCCGTTTCTCCATCGTCGGGCAGGTTGTCGTCAACTTGGACTTGCGTGTGCTCGACGTGCACAGGGGATACCCGGGTAGCTGGCACGACATCAGGGTGCTCCAGTTGTCCAGCCTGTGGCAGCGCGCGGAGTCGAGGTCGTCCCGTCATCCCCTTGCAACACTCCCGTTCGGGGTGCGGAGAACGGCTACGTTTTGGCGGATAATGGCTACCCCCCTTCAGAATGGATGGTCGTCTCGTACGGAGGCATCAATCAGCACATCGAGGAGGAGCGGTTTGACAATGAGCAGAAGGTGGCGAGGGGAGCGGTGAACAGGGCGTTCGGCAGGCTGAAGGGCATGTGGCGGCTGTTTCTGTGGACGCAGAAGACGAACCTGGACACGCTCCTGCAGCAGTTCACCGTTGTCTGTATACTGCACAACATACTGATCGATGTTGGAATTCCATTCGACGAGAATCTGCTATGGGAGGTGGACACTAATGGTGTGTGACGATGTATGGACCTAGGGATTCAAAAGCCCCTTCAACCTGTGTCAATGATTACTTCGACAGACGAAACGTTGGCCCTGCGGGGTGATCTAGCGGAACGAATGAAACACAATTGAGTCGTGTTGGCATGGTGGACGGCAGCACGTGGATGTCTAATCACTGCAGTGTTGGCAGGAGGCTGAGGAGGGCAGATCCGTCATTTCGTCCCGGCCTGAACGAAGTGTTTGTGCGTGCCTTGGGGTTCGAAGTTTTTTGGGATGGTTTTAGTTTCTGAGCGTCGCAATGCGCGGTTGTGCACAGCACTTGTTTAGGCAGCCCACCATGGGGTTTTCCATTGTGTGCTGGAGATACAGTGTAGTGCGAGGTCTCAATGACATATGCACCGTTTTTGTTGACACGTGGCGACCATCGTGAATATAGAGTGTAGGTGGATTGTGTGGGAAGGGCTGAAACTTGTCGCCCCTGCATTAAATTATGTTGCCCTATTGAACAAACAGTACTCAATTTTCTATTGTCCTTGCGTTATTCAAATCGTCTTTTCCGGGTAGCTGTGGCGAGGGGTGATTTGTTGTTCTTCTATCTATTGTTATTTTCATGCGAGAACAAATGTGGAAGAAGATAAAATGTGGCATTGCATTTCATAACAAGTGCCCTTCGACCTTGTGTGCTCATCCCCATTGTGTGGATTGCCTTTCTTCGATTGTTAAAACAAAAATGAAAACAGTTGTTGGTGCCAGTAGAACATCTACATAAACCACCCAAACGAACAACAATCACATGAGAAAAAAACGAACATCAATGGTGTGCATGCAATCATCATTCACTCATGCCAGCGAAGTCATGAAAACAGCGGACGCATGATTAAAAAAAGGGTGCGCTCTTCACGCATTTCTGTTCTTTCGCAGCAAGTTGAGATGATAACAACACCAAACACGACGATTGAAATTAATTAAGCCCCCTGCCGAAGTGAACGCCCTAAATCGTCACTCGTCACCTGCAGGAGCGACACACTAAACAAGTGCACAACCAACGACAAGCCCGTCACAACTACCAAGCTGAACGTGCATATGCGCACCCACACATCTCCGTGCGCTGGCGACTCCCCCATCCACTTCCCTCTCCTGTGTCGAACGTCTCGCCCACGCTGCCCCCCTACGCGTCATCTTTTCGACCGTCGTCGTTCTCCTCCTCCGGGGTCCCCGTACCCAACAAATCCAGCCTCTTCGCATCCCTCGGCCCTGGTATGCTCGCGTCGTGGCCGAAAACGATGTTGCAGGGTACCCATTCAGGGATGTACTTGGGATATTCTCCGAAGGTTGCGTTCGCCTTCCCAAGCCTCTTCATCTATGTTCAAAGGAGCGATGCATGGACGCGATGAGCGTGGGCTTCACCACGAGCTTGGCGAAGTAAAAAGCTTCGTAGTGGTTGTGCAAATCATCTCCCACCATCCGCATCAACCGCATGAACAAACGTCTAAAGCAGTCAGCAACCCACGAAAGACGGTCGTGTGAGATAAACCCACCGTCGACGTTCGCACCCATTTGAACCGCGGCCTGGAACGCATGCGCAATGCATATGACGGTGGACTCCTGGTACGTTGCCATGTCGTCGTCTTTTGGTTTGTCCTCGATGTTGCCAC